AGCTTAGCTGGTTCAATTTCGAATTAATGGTTGGAGATTGGTCCCTATAAAAAAAAACCCTAAACCCGACCCAGACCGACCTGACCCAGCCATACTCTTGGGGTATATGATGAACGGGGTCTTAGGTATGGTCGGGTCTAGTCGGGTCAAGCGTAACCCTATATATTTCGGGCCGGGTCGGGTATGATGAAAGCCCGACCCGACCCGACCATTGACACCCCTTATTCAGAGATGTCTGTTGTGAGAGATCAACTGGATGCACTTCATCCCACGATCCAACAATGTCAGAGGGGACAAAAGGATCCTCACTGGACTTGCAGGTATATGTTATAATAGGTTGGGTACTTTCAACTTCCTTCAATTGATTCATACTTGTCTTCTTGATTATTATCATTGGTCGCCCCTGATTATCATTTTGATATTGTTTGCTTCATGCACATTGATTCGTCAACTCGACCTCCTTGACACCGCTTAAATTCTTCGGAGGAGAAAGTGATGTTTAAGAAGATGGAGAGAGTAATGTCTTGGAGAAAGTTGATGATTGCATTAGATTTCATTTGTTCAATATCATTTTGTAAGTAAATGTTAGTTTATTTGGACTGCTTGTTTCATTAGATGACTATGGTAGGTGGTAACTATTGGTACTATTTACATTCAAATACATTTGGTATCATCCATAATTTTAGTATATTATCAATCATAAATTTGTGTCGTTGGACTCACTACATTGTTCGTGTAAATATATATAATATATATTAGAGTTTATTATACTTCGTGACTATGTGTAGACCCGTTAAATGGGTGGGTCAAGTCGGGTTTGGACGGGTCGAAAATAATCCATCCCAAATTGATACATTTATATCCAATGCAAATTTAGTGACTCATATTTAACCCACCTGTACCCGACCAGATCTGAAATCCATTTTTATTAACTTTTCTCCTTAAATTGTTGTCTTTGAAGAATGGGATGCTCCATGGACCGACTCGTTAAGTTTGTGAGGGAGCTCGGGGGTCGGGTTATGGATAGGGGTGTGAAGGTGGTGGTGAAACTTTAGGTTTCCTCGTAAGTGCAATTGGTCACAATAGTGTGAAGTTGTGAGTCAGAGGTTGAAGAAAACTTAACGATGACGAAAGTAGAGCAAATGAAGGGAGAAGGTCGCGAGTCACGAAATCAAAGTGGGAGAAAGAAGAAAAAAGAGAAGAAAAAAAATCAATAAAAATTCGAAAAAATTGTCAAAGTCAGCACCACCGGCCACACCACGTTTGCGATTTTTGGCCAAAATTGTCGAAATGATTACATTGATAAATCGTCAAAAGACTTAGGATTAATTGATACAATTGAAAAATTTAGGATTGAAATGGCTGTCGTACAATAGGTTTAGGACGTTTTAAACAATTTTCCAAACTTCCCCATAAGTTGACAAGTTGTCAGAGAAAGGACACCTATAAAGTTACAGGAATGTTGGAAAAACGTTCCACCTTTATAAACCGGGACGTCCACACAATGCCCTATCGTCATTCTTTTGAGATGTATATATAAGTTGTGTTTGAAAAGTCCCATATCGAAGAATTGATGCGGTGTGGATTAACATATACTAATTAGCCCATAACTCATTGGCTTTTAACTTTTGAGTGAACGTGAGTCGACCAAGATATATTATTGAGCTTATACTTAGGTTCTATCTTGACGATCTCCTCAAATATAGATATTGGAGTTCTACTGTGCTCCCAACACATTCCACTCCCGACAATGTTGGTCTTCTACTAATTATTCAATTATCTAATTTTTTATGAGCACATGTACTTATAATTATAGTTGGTTATGCGAATCAGACTCCTAATTAATTATGGAGCCTCATTGGGTGTGCAAGCGATTGCTTGGAAAAAAGAGGCTGGCCAGCTCCAAAACCCTTCATTTCATAACGCTATATAACTCAAAAAGACCCAAGAAGAATTCATTGATCGAGCAAACGGTATTAATTAGCTTGCAAGGGTTCTCACAATTAGAACGTTTTCTTTTTTTGAAAGAAAATTTCATTCATTTCTCAGAATAATACTCGAGAGGTATATAGAAGGATTTGAAGCCTAGCAAATCTCAAATAACTGCGGATTAAAGCAAATGCTAGAATGCAAATAACAAAGCAAAGTTTGCAGCTAGAAACACACTCTTATCCCTCAAGAATAGATTTTTCAAGTATAAATGTTTGGCAGTAGATCACTACATTCAGTGATGAACACACGTCAAGACCTCCCACTCCATTGGGGTATGCAAAGGAATCGGGAACCGCCTAGACCGCCCGGAACCGGATCGGATCGACCCGGAACCGGCGGTTCCCATGGGGATTGGTTGGATTCTCGGAACAGACCACCTACCCACCTAGACCGGTATATATATATTTAAAAAAAATCTGCGATTGGGGATGGTATTTTCTGAGTATGCGCGACTCTTATATAAAGATGGTGACTCTGTAAAAAAAGGGACAAAGAGAGAGGGGAAAGGGCTTGGTTTTTAGTTGGCGCATTTTAACATTATTATTATTGGATTGATTTTGGTTGGAAGTTTGAAAGTCTGACAACTTGGTTTGACTGAGATTCATTATTTTTCATTTAGCCCCTTTTTCCACTTTTTTGAATCTGATCCCGCCTTTACGACTCTTGTTTGGCAATCCATGTGTGTATGCAAATTCCGTCATGTGGCACATACGAACTGGGAGATTCCCCCCCCCCCCCCCCTTCCCCCTCTCTCTCTCTCTCTCTCTCTCTCTTCTGCGAGAGATTCTTGAAGTTGGTCATCGTTTGCCACGTCTGCAGATGGAATGGGGGCCAATCACCTAACACATTCATTCGTTCGTCGAACTTGAGGACCATGATATTAATTGACAAATACAAATTTGTAGGAATTGAGGACTGGTGGCGATCTAGTTCCCGAGTAGATCCATGGAACCAACGAACGGTTTTCGATTTCAATTTTTCGGAATCGGTCCTTAGCGGGCGATTCCTGGTTCTAAGGTGGGAACCGCCCACCCGAACCATGCTTACCCCTAGTCTGCAATAAGCCTTTAGGTACAATGTCCTCATCACCATCACCATACTAGAAAACTAACATCAATATGTTGAAAGAATACAAATCAAATACCTATAAGGTACTCCCAGATCTATATCTAAAGCTATTTTGGGAAAGTAAAACCCCCAAATCTGGACTTAAATCTAAATTGGGAGAGGAGAGCGGTATAATCTCAGAGAGGTTGTAGAGCCATATCACAAACAACCTCCTTGGTGGCTGTCAACTGGACAAATGGCCGAACTGGTCTCCAAGTTCACCCAATATCAGCTACAGAAACTTATTCACACGCACAAACTTTCAAAATAAATTGAGAGAGAAAAGAAAATACAATCAAAGCAAAGAAAAAGAAAATCAAAGACTAATTAGACTCTCAGCTTCATAAACTGAAGTTGAGAGTCTACATGAGAGCTTTAAAAGAGAGAAGAGTTTTTTGGGAGTTGAGGAGGTTTGCTGGCAGAGAAAGAAAAGAACGAAGCCCTAAACTTTTAGAATGTTGACTTGATGGGCAATGGTTGGGAATCATATTTCATGAACCGTATTATGAAGGTGTTGTGGCCATAAGGATTGCCTAGCCAAGTTGCAAATATACATCGCTTTTGAGGAAGCACTATCAAGCACTTTCTAAAAGAGATTATGTAGTTGTTTTCTTTGCCCGCTCTTTTGGTCTCAGTGATCAAACGTTGTCAATTCAACAAAGTTATCCATGATCTTAAACCAATCAAGAAAATTAACACAATGGTCTGATGTTCATATACATACTTGGGATCCGTTTGTTTGAAGGAAAACTGTTTTTCGGAAATTGTTTTCTGACTTTTTGGTAATTGAATGATGGAAAAATAATCAATCTATGGAAAACGTTTTCCATGGATTGAAAACAACAAGTTTAGATCGGGAGAAAACGACTTCTCCCTCTAACAAGAAAAAAATCAGTTTCCTTAAATCACCAAACAAATGAAAACTAAGGTTGCATTTGTTTATTTGAAAACTTCATGATAAAGGAAAATATTTCTCATGGAAATTATTTTCAAGGAAAATTGTTAGTTTCATTTATTTGGTGGTTTAGGGAAATTGATATCCTTCTTGCCAGAAGGGGAAATTGTTGTCCCCTAATTGAATTTTGTTGTTTTCAGTCCATGGAAAACGTTTTTCATAAATCGATTAGTTTTCCGTCGTCCAAATACCGGAAAGTCAAAAAATAATTCATCGAAAACAGTTTTCCTTCAAACAAACAAACCATTTCATTAATTTTAAGGAGCTAACTGAAACCTTGTATGTGAAGTTAGTTTCTCGATACATATTTGTGACGATTATATCACTTTGTGGAAAATTGTAATGAATATATTAAAGTTCTCTTTATGTCATGCAATTCAACGAACCGGCATTTTAAGGAGTTTCGAATTTAAGACTCAAGCTTTTCTCTTGGAGCTGAAACACACCATGCATTTATAGTCCAAAACATTTATGAACTATCGGTTTTGATCTATTTGTTAGATTCAAAATGAGATAGTTTTCATCATTTTTTTTTTCCATCGGACGACAGCCATATGGGACAAAAATTGACATAGTTTTCGTCATTTTCCGCGTATTTTTATTTGAAGACCATGACTAAATCAATTGAAAATCTTTCTCTTTACCGGTAATGTAGTGGAATTATCGTATTATACAAAGCCCATTGATACGTCATGTGTGTATTAAGGTGGATAAGGTCTGGTGTGCCTTAAGAACAGGATACGATACCTAAGCTTTAATTAAAGTGATTATGCTAATCCGAGGAGATTTTCAAGAATCTCCCGACACATGAGGCCCATCAAAAAGGAGAATATAGTATTCACACACACTAACATGATTACTATAACTCTTCTTCTTCTTTGATCTCCATTTCCATTGCAGCACAAAGCTTAGAGCTCCTCCATTAGTTTATACTTTCACGAGTAACATGTTTCCTTTACAACCCAACAACGATCTGCTCTATCTCCCACCAAATCGCTACCTGATTCCGGAGGATCAGATCATCCATGATGATCAAGATCCTCGTGGCCTTCACGTCACCAACCGAAAGGACAAGAACAAGGGCTTAGACAAATCTGTACTCATATCCTTCAGCGGAAGCAACAAAAAGGATGAAGATTGTGATCATCAGAAGAAGATGCATCGAGACATCGAGCGGCGGAGGCGGCAAGAGATGAGCACCCTTTACGCGTCTCTCAGATCATTGCTCCCTCTCGAGTATATAAAGGTAATCAGAGAGGTTATATTTTTTGTTATTCTGATGTTTTCCCCTGAATTAGGGTTTTTGTGCATGGGAGTTTTAGGGGAAGCGGGCGACATCGGACCATATAAGCGGGGCTGTAAGTTACATAAACCATCAAGAGAGGAAGATCAAAGAGCTGGAAAGTAGAAGAGATGAAATGAAGAGTGGTGATTGTTCGGTGAGAGCTTTGAGTGTAAGGCCTTGTCTGGATGGAGTGGAAATAATCATCAGAAGTGCTAGTTCCAGTGACCAAGACCATAATTTTCCATTATCAAAGGTGCTGCAACTCCTGCTTGAAGAAGGAATTAGTGTAGCAAGTTGTGTTTCCACTAGAACTAGCGAAGTGACATTCATCCACACCATCCAATCCGAGGTATAACTCTCATGAAGAAGTGTTGTAGAACTAGGGTTTTCTGTGTCATTTTGGTTTTCGTGAAAAATGATCCTAAGTACTAAGAATTCATTCCCTTATTTTCTCGGGTCTCTACTTTAGGTTTGCCATGCCAGGTGTCTCGATATAGCTCGGCTGCAATCGAAACTCGATGAAGTGCTTTTGGACTACTGAGTTAGAATATTGTTTTTGCTAATTGATTCCTATGAACAGCTTCATTATTCTTTCAAATTTCTATTATCATCAGACCTCTTGGACAAAGAATTGTGTAAGTGATGTTTCTCTTGTGTGCACAAGAAGTTGGTTTTCAATCCTACAAGACTTGGGTTTTTAAGAACTTTTGAAGGGTTTGTTCTCAATTAGCTAGGTAGCATTGAGGCTAAATCATTTTATAATTAGCGCATCCAAATCGCCATAATATTATCTGGGTTATCCCTATCTAGACATGGATTGTATACATAACTATCTGATGTAATCTAATTTAACTCAACAAATGAGGGTTTTTTCCCCATTCATTAACTTATAATTGACTGATACAAAGCTGCTTGTAATATTAAAATTAGCACGTGTAAATAAAAAAATGACATATTTTAGTAGAAAGTACAGTTAGATTGGATGCTACATGGTTATTCTTGGTTGCCAGGGGATCTTATATAGTAAAACGATTGCTAGAGGAAGTAGCAGATTCCATGTATTTGGAGAGGGTTGCTACTGTTGCCTTTGCTGATTTCATATACAGACTTACTGACTTAGTACATATGCACACAAATACGTGTGTGCAAAAGAGAGAAGTTGATATGTCACCATATCATTTCGCCGATCCGAGGGCTTATGCTTCTTAGGATGGAGGTAGGCAGGTTTCAAACTCAAGGTTTGACTGCAGATTTACACTGTATCACATGCTTCTTAAGTACAGTGATCCTATGACTTGTAAAGTAGCATGTACTGGTGGAAATTAGTGCGCAAATCAAAAGGCCGGATCATGCAAACATATTCTCGTTGAAAAGTTAGATCGTCATTATATGAACCGTGTATATTTAGGTATATTCATCATTTAAAAGTTATCACGAAACACACTTTATGGATCATATTATTTTTATACGGTGCCGATTGTATATGTTTCAAAATCTTGTGTGGTGGTTTGCAAATGGCGAGTGTATCTCAGCGAGATCTACTCATCGTTAGTCTCACGGTTGTTTATATATTAAAGCTTTACTGTGATTATCTTGCTCATGTTTCACAAACTAGATAACTCTTTTTAAGTTGTTGGTCATGAAGGAATCATCTTGCTCCAAAGTCCATCCATGTTCTTGCCTAATTCATAAACTCAAAAAGATAGAAACGCAAATGTGCTATATTTTATTTCTTTTTAACGAACTCGCTAAAAAACAAATTAACTGATGTGGCTAAATGAATGCTAACCAAATTTGTCTTCAGAACAATACATGTTTTACCTAGAAAAGTTTTGGTTTGATTAAGCTATAAAAACGTATCTCCCATTTGATTTTTATTTTCTCAAAAGCAACAGTATTCAACTCTCGCCCCATACATGCCATCTTCCTTTGACATATCTATACGACATATACCTACTTTCATCGCCATGGATCCTATGTCAACGCCGGCCATGCCACGTAGGATGGTTGGCATCCGATTTCTAGTCAAAATTGACCGGATGGACTAAATTGGCAAAATGTGAAAAAATTTAGAACTAAATTGACCCAATTAAAAAGGTTTATTGACTGAACTAGCACCAGTGCAATAGGTTTATGACTTTTTTGGTAGTTTCCCCCTTTGAAAGTGCGATTTTGCTGGCCAAACACAGTCTAGTCAATAATCAATAGGTACTGCCCTAACAGGAGCTAAATTGCATATACCCAGAATTCATGGGTGGATATAAATTGCCATAATTGAAATGAAAGTCAAAGAGCTCTTGGGAATTAGTACTATAGGCATGTGGCCTTGTTAAGAACTTCCCTCAACTTCAAAATTTTTTATCACGAAAAGCAGTCGGAACTTCGGCAGGTAACGTGATTCTCAAATATCCGACCTAAAGGAAGAAAAAAACAAAACATGATTCTCAAATAAAATAATCTGTCGAGAAACCATGTGCAACGAGTTTCTATAGTCTGCTCATGACTTCCTTTTTGCCCATCCAGCACATTGACATTCCTCAAGGAAAAGAACTTCCCACAAGCTTATTCAATTCTGCTTACAGCTTCCTTCTTACTCACATTCTTATGCAGAACCGGAGTCCGGTTCCTACTCTTCAATATTGCCCAACAACAGAAGGCTATGTTGACCTTACCCTCTTTGGAAAGTTCCTTTCCATCAGTTAAAGCAAGCAGCAAATCATTTCCTCTAAAAAATGTGCTCTCTTTGCACATTAACGTCAGCACCACCAAACCAGATACCTCCACATTTCACTGCATTGGATAAGCATGTGCTCAATGTTTTCGACTTCATCAGAAAAGGGGTAGGAAAAGATTCCCATTAGTGGAAATAGCTTCATTACAGCATCTCCAAAGGAAGTGTTCAAGCTTTGGAGTGCATCTAGCATTCCAAGCGACAATCGGGAAGGGAATGCGAAATGGACGATGGGGGATGAAATAGGAGTGAGACAACGAGTGAGGCAGGATGGTGGATTTGATCGGTGTGACAGGAAGGTAAGGAAGATAAGATGATGAAAAAGGAAAGAATACGAACGGCGAAAATGAACACCACATGCACGGTCGGACGGAGAGCATTTTCATTCCAAACCAAAACCAAGTACTTGAAAACCAAAACTTTTCTATGAGTAACTACGTAAGTTCGTTGCATTATCACGACAACTTTGTTTTCAAAACCTTTTTTGATCATGATAGACTCCAAGCGATTCTGTTTATGTTCACTTGGATTCTCATACCATGTGTTGGTTTAAGTGAAATTAAGCATTTTCATATACAACAGTCATGCTAAATTGAGAGGGAAAAGCCCAAGAACAGGAGAGCAAGCTAAACATATGAAATGGCCTATGCCGATACCATTACATGAATGAAATGGAAAGAAGCACTGATCCTCTTCTACGCTGAACTCAGTAAATGAAAGTGATACAATCGGTCTTCACACCTTCACTGTTGTAACATACTTGATCAACATCTCGGTTATATCCCCGGAGACTACCGAAGCCGATTCTTTCAAGTTCTTGATTTTTGCGTCTGTTTCTTCTTCAAGCCTTTGTACGTTCGCTCCAGACGCCCCACCCGTCTACGAGTTACAAACAGCAAGCATTAGTCCATACGAACGATGATAAAATTAACCAAGAAGAAAAGATTTTTCGGCTACAAAATAAGCACAAAGTACCTCAGCAATCCTCTTCTGGTTCTCAGCCTCTAGCTGGGATCGATATGTTGCAACATCCTTTTCCGCTTCTTCCTTTGCTTGTTTCAATCTCGTTATCTTCACTGTTGAATCGAATAAAATGAACAGCCATACCGATAAATCGATTAAGAGCGACGAAAAATATGATCGGAGGGAAATTCTCGCCCACATGATAAACTTGTTCTTCCGAAAGGAGAACATTACAGTGCGACATCTTAAAAACTAAAGAAACGTAAATTTGCTCTATCCTTACGATTCTTAGCACTCGAAATGATCTGTTGAGCCTCTTGTTCTGCTGTTAACAGCATCTGAATCCCTCCTTGTCCCTTCATGGAATCCATTGTAAATCCTGACGACATTGCCGAATGAAGCTCGATAACGAAGCGAACACGGATCAAAGTTACGAATTGAAAATGAATGCAAAAAAGAAAAACCCAAGAGTGCAATGGCAGATCGAGACTCCTGAGACTCGCAACGTATAGCAATTGATGCAAACAAAAAAATTCCAAGTGCATAAGACAACAACATGCAAGAAAATTCTAATTGCGTAAGACAACAACATGTTCTCCGACATTCTTGCCGAGATTAGCTCGTTTCATTCCAAGTACCTCCAACTTGATTACACTCGTTTCGTTCGCTCCCAACTTCATCGGGACACATGTTTGACAGATTCTTCCTCTGGAGTGGCGTCGTATTGGCTTCGAGAATCCAACGGCATGTTTTACTTTGCAATCCTAGAGTTCTTTATTTTTTCTTTCCCTTTTTATATTTAACAAATTTTAATTTTAATGTTCGATTACATCGATGCTGAGCAGGTGAGAGCTTGTGGATTGTGATGAAATAAGGTTTTATTTGAAACCAAATATCAGAGACACAAATGACAAAAGTACAAAGTATGTCCTCACCCTAGGTGCACCGGTGCTATGATCCAGATAGACGAAATTAGAGTGTTGATGTTGCTAAACTTCTCTCTCGCCCAAGGTCCGAACCGGAGGTCCGGGAAGTCGGGTCGTGTAATCAATGGAACATCGAGGTCCATGATCTGCTCGGCCGAGCGCCAATCGTCAAGAGCACGGACGAGGAAGTTCCGGGGTGGTGTTTTTGGAGACCTTCTTACACTCGAGTTAGACGACGAAAGAAGAAGGTGGGGAGATCCAATGTATCCGGCACATCGACTTACCCATGTACAACTTCCGCTCTCAACCGTGGGTGTTTTGATTATCCGGACGTGCTCTCAGATTTTAGGCGACCCGGTCCGGATGGAGGTGAGGGCCACGAGAGGTTCAGCCCTCGATCGCGATTGTGCATTTGGATCTGACCGGGCCTTCAAGGGTTTGAGAAGTCAAATACTATATTTATAGGCTTGATATCTCATATCATGCAACTACAAGGCTCCGTTTGTTTTGCAGAATGAATGATTTGAAAAATATTTTCCTAAAATCGATTACTTGTGTTGCTTGAAAGAATTAGTCGATGGAAAAAGTTTTCATTATTGACAATAATTTATGTCTAGACAATGTGATATCTACATATAAAGTGATTAAGCATAATCCTGAGCCCACAACAAGTATTTCTTTTATATCAATATCATGTCCAACGCTTTTTAAGTACTCGACTAATCCTATCAAGTGTGGCAGTTCCTCTCATCCCAACAAACACACCGAGTTCCGACTAGAGATACAGCTCCTAAGAGTGCCCCTCACATCAAGTAATATTAATCTAATAAAATTTGGATGGTATTAGGATTACCTTTGCCAACATTGACCGTTTAAAATGTGACATTAGTACATACAAACAAAAAAGTGAAATTAGGATAAAAACTCGTTATTAATCTCTCTCTAATGTACTAAAGAAATCTCTCATATTAATTAAGTGTAGAAGAACAAGACCACAAGGTAAGATTGATATATTGGTCACGATCTATATAAAAGTACGAAACATATGCTTTTATCGTAATTTAGTCACTTGACTTCTTAAAAGAAAGGGAAAATGGCATAAGTAGCCCCTTGAACTTTGGCTCAATGTGTAATGTGGTCCCTGAACTTTTAATTTGTTCAATGGGGTCTCTGAACTTTATCTCAAGGTGCAATGTGGTTTCCAAGCTTTTAATTTGTTTAATATAGCTCCTGAACTTTTGGTATATCGAACAAATCAAAAGTTCAGGGACCACATTAAATATTAAACTAAAATTTATAGACTATATTAAATAAATTAAAAGTTGATGGAGCACATCGTACATTAAACCAAATTTTATGAACCATTTGTGTCATTAATCCCTAAAAGAAATATACTACATTCTATTAGTAATGCGAATTGATGGAAATTAGTAACACTAAGCCTACTAAAAGTTAATCTCCCGGAGAATTTCAAAGGGCAAAATGCATCATTCGTCCTTCAATTTTTGCAAACCGTTCAAATGGGTCTTTGCACTTCTTTTTGTTCGCTTGGGTTCCATTCTTGAATTGTTAACCTTTCGTTATATTTGGAAAAGATGAATAAAAAGTTAGTACGAGCTGACAAAGTGAATCTGATCGAAGTACTCGATGCACATGAGAGATGATGGGACTCATGTTAGGCTTGCGCCCCTCGGGTAGGCGGCGGCGCACCTAGCATATCGGCTAGCCTCACCCGAGCCTGACCTAAACCGGTAGAACGCAACCAAGCTCGATGACAACTGTCGGCAATTATCCATTGCCTCAGTAGCGCACTTATCTTCGGTTATGGTTTTTTTTTTAATATTACATCAATCGATCGGTCTAATCAATGCCGACATGTCAATTCATGTCAAAGTACTTTTTATACACTATTTAAATTGGAATGACCAATATAAACAGAAAGGACTATAGTTTTAAAAACCAATCGAATAAAATTGAAAAAAAAAATGAGGGGGATGACTAACGCCTTCTATTCCCATTTCTAATGGGCCTCCCCCCCCCTAGCCCAACATTCCTAGATTCCGTTGCCTTGCCGCGTCGACTCGGGTTCGGCTCGGCTCGGCTCGGCTCCCCCCGTCTCCGGTTCTCCGACTTCGGCTGCCATCATCTTTTTTCTTGGTTTCTTCCAGATCCGGCGAGCGAGACGGAGCGTGCGCGTCCATCGTCTCGCCATCGCAGCAAGCTCGAAGCTTTTCCCTCTCCTCCTCCTCCTCCTCCTCTGGCGGGCTCGAGGAAGAAGAAGAAGACGGCCGCCATGCGGGTGCTGCAGCTCGGCCTCTTGCTCGCCCTCACCTCCGGGCTCGTCGCGCTCTGCATCTACATCGCCGGCGTCTCCGATTTCTGTAAAAACTTTCCTCCTCGCTCGCTCGTTCGTTCGTCGCCCCCCGCAAGTTCGAGTGCATTGCGATTTCTTTACTGACCCCCCCTCCCCCCCTGCCGTGTCTGTGCCTTTCGCTCTTGTGCGCCGCCGCAGACGACGGCTACCGGCTCTCCGGCGACGATATGGATGCCCTGCGGTCTCTGCAGGGCCAGTTCCGAAAGTGCGTGGTCAGTCGCTTTCCCTCCCCTCCCCTTTTCTTTCCTTTCCTCCCTTGATCTCCGGATCGATCGCGTGGTGGGCACGGGTCACGATTCGCGCCTTGCTGTTCGTGTGCAGAAGGCGAACGGATTGGGATTGGAAGCCGTCGGCGGGAAGACTATTTGCGAAGTCGCCATGAGCTTCCCTCCCGATACTGTGTCCAAATGGGTGGGTGATTTGGTATCTTCTTGCCATTTGGGGCAATCCCGTTGTCCTCGGGCAGTTGCGTTTCTCTTTGGTTTTCTTTGAGTGTGAAATGGGTTTTTGTTTGACAGAGAGATCCAAAATCTGGAGAACTTGATGGTTTGTCTTTCGATTTCAATCTCTACGAAGCTGTGGCTACATGGGAACAGGTGAGCCTACGGTTGGTAAATTGAAACGCAAATTGAGATATTGAAGATAGGAACGAGTAAATGTGGCCCCTTTTTCATTGAACTTGGTTCCGGAGAAATCAGATACGCTACGCGATTGATTTATTATGTAGTGAGTTGATTGCCACAGGTGAGGAATAGTACCACTATACTTACCAGGGAGTTCCTCGATGCTTTGCCGAATGGGTGGGAAGACTACGCGTGGCAGAGGATTAACAAAGGAATACAACTGTAAGTATCTTGTAAATTTCTCTCGATGTTATGCACGGTTCGATTCGGCCCTTGCTTTGTTAGAAAATGCCATAATGGTAAAGAAAAGAAAGAAACATTTTGAGGAAGTCTGTAGGATGGAATTTATTAAAATCTCTTCAAAATATATAGGAAATTTCGTTCTTGCATACAGTCAGTTCCAGCTATTAAGGTATATGAAGTTTGTTTTGCAAATGAAATTAGTAGCGTCCATTCTCTTCCCTTGGTTATATTCTTCCAAAGTTTCAGTCACCTTAGGTAGTTGTTATATGAAATTTGTATATCCAACTAGAGCGAGCTGCAGAAAGATTGCACACAAGTAGTCTGACTAGGTATATTTTTGCGTTCCAGCAACCGATGTGAAAATAAGACTCTATGCAAGGAGAAGCTTTCTCTGGTACTTCCTGAAACACCCCCATACTTTCCACGGCAGTTCGACCGCTGTGCTGTCATTGGTAACTCTGGAGATCTTCTAAAAACAAGGTTTGGAAAGGAGATAGATGATTATGATGTTGTCATCCGGGAAAACGGTGCACCTATCCAGGTCAAATTTCATATTGGATGTGCAAATTTCATTTCCACTCTACTTTGCCTGCTCCTGACTATCTGTGTCTACCAGAATTATACGGATTATGTGGGAAAGAAAAGTTCATTTCGTCTTCTCAATAGGGGATCGGCAAAAGCTCTTGATAAGGTTGTTGAGCTAGATGGTATGTGTGGCACCTTACTTATCATGTTCTCTGATTCCACCGAAGATATAGTAACGATACTCTTCTGCAGAAACGAGGAAGGAAGTTCTGATCATAAAAACAACAATCCATGACATCATGAGCAAGATGATAAGGGTCTGTAAGTTTCCTTTTACTCTTAATTTGTCTAGTAGACGTGTTTGGAGCATCCTCCTTACTTGGCACGGTTTTGCCTTTTGCAGGAACTTCCTATAAAAAATCCTGTGTACCTTATGCTAGGGGCATCCTTCGGATCTGCTGCTAAAGGGACTGGGCTCAAGGCTCTTGAATTTGCTCTGTCTATGTGTGAATCAGTAGATATGTACGGTTTCACCGTGGATCCTGGTTATAAAGAATGGTATAGATTTAGTAATTTGCGTATATCGTATGACCTCTTTCATGTTTTCACTGTGGATCTCTGGTTTTCCTAATCATGTATCCTTCCTAAGTGTTCTCTCAGGACTAGATACTTTTCGGAATCTCGACAGGGTCATACACCTCTTCATGGTCGAGCTTACTATCAGATGATGGAGTGCCTGGGGGTATGTGAAGAGTTTATCTACTTTTTTCAACCAAACCTTTAAATTTCTCTATAATAAAGTCTAGGAAGACTCTGGCAATAGGATTTGGTTTTACATCAATCTGGTGATGCATCTAGATGAATTTTTATTTTATCATTTAGATGACAAGTCAAATGCAATTCTTGCTTGAGGTTTGAATCCATTCTTAACTTGTTTCAGTTTTTTATCCTGTCTCTGTAATTTGTACTTCTGAAATGTATCATCATCGTATTCTATCCCACTGTATGTTAGAATGCTCACCTGGCAGTTTTAGTAATTAACATTATCTAATGTCATTTTTTCATCTTGCTTTGTAAAGCTCATCAAGATTCATTCTCCAATGCGTGCTGCTCCACACCGTGTTGTGAAGTGGTTGCCAAGCCGTAGCTTAATCAGAGCTGCGAGAATTGCATCAGAGAAAGTGTTAAGGTGACGCTTCCCATTTGTCCATATTCTTGATTGTAATTAATAGCTTCCTGTGTATCTCCGCGCTCAAACCCTCAAACAAGTTCCAAAATAGTGTTTCAAGACTTGAATCGCTTGATTTTTTCCAGGCATAGTTGGATTGATAGGCTATTTCTGACCTCCAAGATGCGAGTCAGAACTCAAGTGATAAATATTTATTTTCCTCTCTTGCAAGACATGAATCCTGTAGTTAACTTTGCATCCAATGATCTTTGCCTGCCAGTCTAGACTGAAAATTTGGTAAAAGCAAAACTAGATGGAGTGAGTCTTGCGTTGCTGTAACTTAGTGGCATCACCATGATCTTTGTGTTTATCTCAACAAAATGTAAAAGCCTAATCACTACTAGTTGACAGACTTACATCGTAAAAGTCTTCTCTTAAGTAATCAGATTTTTGGGTGTTGATTTTTGTTTGGAGTCTGGTTGATTGTTTTTCTGTATGGCTGCAGGAGGGTTGGAGCTGCATCTTTGGACCCTCTGGCGGCTTGTTCGATTATTAAAAAGCAAATTAAAAGGAGCTCTAGAGGACTATCCAGTCTCAGAAAATCGGCAATAGACCATAGAAGATATGTTAGAGGGACAGTGATGTATCCTTTGGAGCATAGTCCTGGACATGGCTTGCTTTGCACGGTGCCTGCCGATTGAATCAGTGGCTACTTCCGATTGTTTTTCAGGTTTGCTCTCTCTTTGGTGAATAGGACTTATACAGAAGCGGTGGTTTGCAACAGGGTTACCTCTATACAACATGGTCGAGTTAGAAATAGCTGGGAGCTACTTTTGCCAAAGGCGCGGAAAAATTTTCCTGGTATTTGTAATATTCTTTGTCAGTCCTGTCAGAATATTTTGCAGTTTATTTGTCAAAAGGCAAGAAGATGGTGGAGATATACAGTCAACCATTAACTAGCGCATTGTTTGTAGGATTAATTAGTTCAATTTCTGGCATAACTATGTCACTTGAGATAGAATTCTTGCTCAGTGTGATTGTAGAGCAGTATGTATCTGAACTAAGTTAGTCCTAGGAAAAAGGCCAGGGATTTTTTTGAGTTTGTCATTCTCCGGATAAATCCTTAGGTCGGCGAGCTCTAGTGCTGCTGGTCAGGTAAATTGGCTGCCTTTGTAACCTGGAAACCTTTGTTATGAAATGCCAATGCATTTTTTGGTTTCTACTCCGATCATGTGGGTGTAAACTAGGTGGCAGAACCAAGGCCTATGCATCTCGCTGGAGAGTAGAGACCGAAACAAATATCAGGTTGAAAATTTGCAGGAGCCGGGCCAGATTCCGAACATGTATAAGTGGAGAATCGCAAGCAAAGTCTGTGTCGTAGCTCATGGGAGGGGATTTCCTGGATGAATCCAATCTTGAAGACAAACCACAGATACCGTAACATAAATTGATGCAGTTCAAGCTCATTTATAAAGTTTCCACAAGTCTCAGGAGTCATGAATCTCTTGCAAACCTCTTATTTTTACTTTGGACCTATTTGCAGTAAAATCCAAATGGAAAATTTTACAATCAAATTCAACTGACCGACCATGCATGGGAAGAAAGAGAGCTATGATGATCAAGTGAACGGCGATCGGCTAGGAAATTAGGCCACTTTTCGTCAACAACAGTTTATCCAGTAAACGTGGTCGCAGAAGAGATAATCCATCTCATTAACTTGAAGAGTGGGAAGAGGCAACCGATGTAGCAATTCTCCAGGAATGGACTATGAGGATCCGGTAGTAATTGAAAAAATACCTATGATGTCGGTTTTTTCAGCTTAATCAGACTTAGAATGATCAACTCATATTCTATTGTCGTTTCGCATTTAGGGGCATGTTTATAAACTGACTTCTTTAAAAGTACACGTTAAACCAAGACATTAGTCCGTCTCAAACTAAATAGATTTTGGAAAACAATCTTATCAACGCACTGTTTGCATATCCATGCATTTTAGTCCGATACTGGAACCGGAATCGTGTGGAAACTTAAGGAGTTCCGAAATCATCATTCATAAAATATAGGGGGTACTCGATAAAGTATGTCAGGAAATGAATATATGTCACCTAATTCATTCAATAATCTTCCAAACAAAGAAAACGATATGATAGATGCTACAGACTAAAGTTCTTCTGCAGCAATCACTACTAGTGAGCCACAAAGGCGATAAAGCATCGAAATTGAACAAGAGCTGCCCTTTCCTTTATCCAAAGAAACAGAGAGAATGCAGGTCCTAGTGGAAAGCCAGATTTCATATGAGTGATGATAGACTTGAGGCAGCAAGTGGCTGGCATATTATTGCTCTAACATACCACATCTACAGGTTTATTGGTCAACCATTGTCTTATATATATATATTGAATCAATAGGACAAGACTCATATGTAGTTATAATTTGTATATATATATATATGAACTCTACCTTATAGTAGCATGTCTGACTTGGCCGGCAATCTCTTGAAGAAATTGACCGGTACGGGAGGCAGCCTGCTCCGGAACCGTGGATGCCTCAGCAGGTAGAGCCCGACCAAAACGGCAATAACCTGGAGCGGAGTGACGTAAATGATGACTGCCCATATCAATGCGAAGATGATGAAGATCGCGGTTGCCCTCGGGTCCCGCCAGTTCAATATCGATTGAGCTCGCTCGCCTTGTGTGGCTAAATCCCCAATCACAGTCTGGACCCTGCCTGCAATACTCCGCAGCCGATCATACCTCATCCTCACCATATCCGGAGGCCTGGACGTGGGAAATGAGTCGAATTCCTCATCGAGCTCGTCTGGATGGGCATTCTCCGCTTGCGACAGCCGGGCGTCCATATGAGGTGGGAGCCTCGTCTTGAATCGGTAATTGCAAATACCGATCACGAAAAGGTACAGGAAGATCGTTGGCAAGATCAACTCCGGGTAGCAAACGAGTATAAAAAACAGTATGTGAACGAGACAGGTGGTCACGGGGTTCCTCCAGTGGCAAATGCTGTCGAACCATCTGCAAATGGCGGTGATACCCGAAAGAAGGGACATGATCCGGTTGAAATTGGCTTTGCTCCTCCTCAAGCTGAACATGTGGGCATCCACATCTAACATGTATTCCACAACTTCGCGCCTGAGGGGTGGCTCGGCCCGGGCTAGCCGCGCTGCCACGATCTGCATGGCTTGGTGCCGGAGCCAATCAATGTACCGAACCGGTATGGGTTGGATGTAGTGCATTTTCGGGAGCAACGGCCTGCCATATTGAGCCACCATGTTAACCCATGCGGTGCAAGTAAACCGTAGAGCCAAATGGAGCTCCCCGTACTTCCTCAAGCCGGAGGATTGGAGGACGAGGAGGGGGTAGTAGTGAGTGTACACTCGATCGGCTTCTAAAGTGGAAAGGCGAACTCTCACTTTCCCAATTCTCTTATCTCTAGCCTCATCTTTTCCATTGACGTGGCAGTTGTCGAAAACTCCGATCGTTATCACGGTACACAAGTCGAAAACTTCCCAAGTGTACTGCTCGTTCCACCGAGGAGCCAGGGTGTCTAGGAGAGTCCTGGTCCTGACCCATTTGTTCCCGTACTTGGCTACACAATAGGCGTCGGTAGTTCGGCCTTCGTGCCCCTTCATGGGAAGTAAGTTTCGAGCGCTCAGGATCCCGAGCTCGAGAATTCCAATGCTCTGCTTCCTTAGGATCTTCGACGACGGTTGAAGATCGCTGCTGAAATGTGTGGACTCGTCAAGAACATGATACCCCCCTTCCAGGCAAAACCGAATGCAAATCTTGCTAGAGAATTTGAATTCCTTCTTCTTCTCTCCCTCTTCGATGATAGATGGCTTGTGGAGGTTGAACCACTGCGGCTCAGGCATCTTGGCGGTATCGGCTCTTTGCCGAATATCCCTAACTGGGATTATCAACCTCCCTAAGGGCTCATCCTTTCCGGGCCCTAGCCGTTCATCGACAGAGACGATTATAAAATCCTCAAACGGCTCAGACGCCACAAACATTAGCTCCTCTTGCCACATGGGATTCACAGTCTTCATTTGGGAAGGTCTAGTTACCCTTCCCTGGTTCCCTAGCTGAACCTTCACGTAAGTGTCGACCGGTCGACCCCCCTCGGTGGGAACAAGATCCTGAGCTTCGATGATGAGAACTCGAAGGTAATAGAGCTTCGGCGAGAAATAGACCTTGGATCGAGTATTGTGCATGTTAGTGTGGCTAATGTTGTGCGCATCGGAATGCCAAGCCTCAGGGAATGACTCGTCGGCCTGCGTTCCAATCCACACGGCAAGCATGATCTCTCCTCTGACTTTCTCTCCTTTCTTGTTCTCCAGTTTATACCACTGAGGAGCCAGAGGGCTATCCGGAGGAACTCGAGCGGGCACCTCCAATATGTCCACAACGACCCTCCCCACGAAATCGTCCTTCGAAACTGTATCCTTATCCATCACCTTCACCTCGAGGAAATTCGACTGCAACCGCTCCTTCGAGAACGCGAATATTTGACGCCACACGGGGTTCTGGTTCTTCTCCAAGTATTTTGTGACTCCTTTGTAGTTCCCAACCTTCACTTCCACATAGGGATCGAGGCTCCCCGTAACATCCATTGTAGGAAGATCTTTGGCCTTGACCACATTCACATACAGATAACGCATCTGCTCGACGAGATCATAAGTGGTCGTGGTCTTATCCCCTCCCCGGTAGCGCATGTGTGCTGCGACGGGCGGTCGAGTCTCCTGCAAGGCAAATTCCGGGTTCTGGCCTGGCATACGCATTTGCATTACGGAAGCTGGGCCTGCGCGGGCAAAACCGGCCCTGGTCTCGGTGCTTGCCGCCTTCTCCTTCATGAAATGGGCTTCAACCCCCGGACCCGAGAAAAAACTCGACGCCGGAGGAGCGCCGGCTGGAGCAGAAGCTCCGAGGGAGTGGAAGGTCCTCACTTCCGGGTCCTTATTCTTTTTCTTCTTCTTCTTCTCATCGAAATTGACATCATCATGATGATGATGATGATCAACACCAACGTGGTCGTTACCAAGCTTGGTATCTCTAAAATCGGGCTCTTGCAGAGGTGGCTCTGCAGCTTCAACATTATCATTAGGACCAACATTTGGGGGCGACACGTACGCATCAAAACCATCATGAGTGGCATAAATCTTAAGCGAAATATCACCACTGATATGGGAAAACAGGCCACGCTTATCGAGTGGGTATCTTTGGACCGAGGCTTCCGATTCAGACAAAGGGACCGAAGCACCAGAGATCCTTACCCGGCCGAGGAACTGCCTGCGATGGCCTCCTTTGGTGTCATTGTACACCAGGACGTCGATCGTCTTGTTGTGGAGGCTCCTTGGGTCGCCGACGTTGAAGGCGAGCTTCTCGTTCCACTGGGGGTTGAGGTCCCCGTGCTTGGTCTGCGTCCTCTGCCGCTGCTCGTCCAACTCCACCTCCACGTACGGGCTCGCCGACCCTTGCCCGTCTTTGGGCTTCAGATCGCTCGCATCGAGAACTTCCACGACCAGGTTTGGCATCGTGGGTACTGTGGTTTCTCCTCAAGAATCGCCCAAGTGCTATGATGATGGAGCTTGCGGTTTCGATCTAGAATGGTGGGTGGAGCAACTGTTCTTGGAAAGGACAGAGCCAAAAGAGAGAAGTTAAAATTTGTATCGAGAGATGAGTAGCTGGTGGTAAAGGAGATGGGATGCTCATTTGGAGTACGAAGACAGAAACAAACATCATGTTAGAGAGAGAGAGAGATCGTTTGGTGGTGAGTGGTGGCCCCTGGAAGTCACAGATGTTTGATAGAGAGTGATTCTGGTGGATTCTTATGTCAGACAGTGAGATAGAGAGAGTTAATTTAGTGGGGTTCTACTCTAATCTACTTGTGGGGGGGACCAAGGGGTATGAATATGATGAAGACTAATGCTTAGGTAGAGAGAGAGAGAGAGAGAGAGAGATTCTTTGATGTGGAAAGAGGGGCAAAGCTTGGATGCATCGAAATGTCCCCGTTCTGTCAAAAATAATGTCCATCACTCTCTTTTTCAAGAACGTCTCCCCTTTTTGCCCCAAAAATACACACAGTGAAAAAGAAAAAGAAGAATTTTCTCCCTCTTTTCTCCAAAGGGTATATCCATTATTGATCCACCAATGGTGTGGAGGGAGGTAGATGTCAAAGCATTGTTTGATGAGTCTCCTTTTGTCTACCCAGAAAAGAAGATCCTCCTGCCTATCCTCGAACCCCCCAATCAAACAAAAAACCAAAAGCAAAAGGAGAGATGCAAAAGGAGAGGTCCCCCGAGCAAGCATACCCACTGAAGAAGGTCACATGGTATTTTCTCCCTCTCTCTCTCTCTCTCTCTCTGTGGCTGCAGACCGCCCAAACCCTATGAAGATATCTTAGCGATGAAGACGATCAAGCGGAGCCTGCTCCTAAGGACTTTTGCAGTGCCTCTTCTTGATGGGAACATGGTAATCTCTTGGACCCTTTAAGAGAGGGGACTATGGCTTTTTGGGACACTCTTGTGCTTGGGCAGAGGGTTAGCAAGAGTTTTATAAACTTGGTGACGTCGAGATGCACTTGGTTAGTCTTTAGCTGAGTTTTGTCTCTTTGCATGGATCGCACTGATTCCAGCTAAGAACGCAAAAGCTCCTTTTTGCTCACTTTTTAAAGAGATAAGGATTGTTTGACCCAAAAAACAAGAGATAAGGATTGATCTAATGGTAAAAGCGCCTCCCGTGCCTACAGGCGCGGGGGAGCGCAAGGAGTTGATGGTCGATCGTGGGTGCGATTTTTGTCCCCGAGGAACTCAGATTTAAATGAGGGGATCGTGGTGAAAAGTTGTTGCGCCTGTTTATCTTGAGATAGCCAGCTATATTACATTGTGCCTCTGAATTGTACAGAAGAAAAGAGAGGGAATTATGAGCATTTCTCGACGTGCTTGACAAAATGAGATTTTTTTTTTTCACAAGATTAAGTACGAAGAGTCCATGAATTGAATAATTTGACCCGCACGAAACTTTCGGGCTCAACCCCGCCAAGCTTTTGTCTGGACAATTTAATCTCAACTCTCGATCTAAAAAGTCTATATAGTATACATTAAAAAAGAGGGGAATTGACGACAAGCAAAATGAATTGGAATCACGAAAGCATAGCCACTGGATTGTTTTGAATCTATCAAAACCACTATCTCCACTAATCAAAGACACTCCAAATAATAGGAACCCTATCAGAAAAGAAGAGGTGCAGGCATCGCCCCTCGATTAAGTCAGTTCGGTAGCTAGGTCGCAAGGTCCGGCCATTGCATCAACTCGGTAAAAAACGACCTGTACGAGAGGAAAGAAAGTGGGATTAGTTTCTTACCAAACAAATTACCCAATTTCGAAAAAGTTACTTCTGGGTCCATCTTGGAGCCGAGGCATTGAAACGAAGGCCATTAAAGACGACAAACAATCGCCATTTGGCCGTCAAAGCCACCGCAGGCCTCCGTCACTTTCCAACTTCTGGTCAAAAAGAAAGAAATAATTTTTCTGAAAAGACGGAAAAGTATAGTGCTACTTTAACATTATTAAATAATACATTGGCATGTTTAACAATGAAACTATGTATATTGAATCTAAGATTTAAAAAATTTTAAAATTACACCAAACATCTACACATTACAAGATGTGTTAGCAGGTTTGTTTGCTTCTTTTGCCTGTAATTTCCACGAAAGTTTCCGATACTATATAAATTTTGAATATATATATATAGACAGGAGTTATGTAGGTTTTACGTTACAAGATATGTACAAAGGTTTGAAGTTGCTTTAGCGTTGAATAAAATTCAAATTACTAGTTACGATATTTGAAAAGGTGAAGAATTGAACAAATGCTCAACTAGCAAAGTCTGAGAACTGCCAATCAAAATATCCCTTTTAGCTAGTAAAACAAATGAAATAACTATTCTTGTCTATAGTCGTGTTCGGTGCTTTTTTATATTTTAGGGATAATGAGACAAATTGTTCCTGAATTTTGGCACGTTGGGATCATTTGACTCAATGTGTAATGTAGTTTCTGAACTTTTAATTTGTTCAATGTGGTCCTTGAACTTTGGCTCAATGTGCAATGTGGTCTCTGAACTTTTAATTTGTTCAATGTGATACTTGAACTTTTGGTACATGTTCAACTTAGTCCATAAACTACATGAAATTATTCAATGTTATCCCTAAATTTGAATTAATTGAAGGACGACATTAAATATTTTCATATGTTCAAGGACTAAGTAACATGTATCAAAAGTTCAAGAACCACATTGAACAAATTAAAAGTTCAAGGATCACATTGCACATTTGACTAAAGTTGAGGGACCACATTGAACAAATTAAAAGTTAATAAGCCACATTATACATTAAACCAAAGTTCGGAGACCATTTATGTCATTTTTCTTATATCTTAAAAGCTTAGTAAAATTACTTTTGGATACAATCTCACTTCTTTCTCCTCTTGGGTATAATCTGTCATACTTTCATTAAGTTCACTGTTAATGTCATCATAATCAACACCATACGTCTGAGCATATCCCTTTACAAACAATCGAGCCTTCAATCAGCCAAGAGTGCCATCAGGGTAAACCTCAACAGTGAAAACCCAACGACAACCAATAGGTTGCTTCCCCACAAGTAAGGAAGTGAGAGTGGTGGAAGTGTCGATAAGACACACCCAACACCATCAGGAGTCGCCGTAGAGACCATCTAAACATTATAATATGGCTGGTCATCAAAGAATGTTACATTCGCCGACACAAACACACAACAAGGAGTAGGACTATAACATTTGTAGCCCTTCCAAGTTCGAGAGTATCCCACAAAGACACATTTCTTGGAATGAGGATCCAACTTATCAAGACCTGGAGTAAAACAATGTACAAAACAAACACAACCAAAGACGCGTAGAGGTAATGAAGAGGGAGGACAATTTGGATGTAAAGTAGAAAATGTTGTCTCCCCCTAAAGAACAAAAGTTGGAAGCCGGTTAATTAAGTAGTGGGATGTAAGGACACATGGCCCCAAAAAGTTTTAGGTAGATGCATGCGAAACATGAGGCAGCGAGTAATATCAAGAAGATGGTGATTTTTGTGTTCGGCTACACCATTTTGCTGCGGACTATATAAACAGAAAGTCTAATGAATAATACCATGCAAATTAAAAAAATGTTGAAAACCAGAATTAGCGGCAAGATGCTCTTTTATTAAGAACAATCAAGTCATTCGGGAAAAATCATCAACGAATGTAACAAAATATCTCAAACTAGAGATATCGTAAACATAACACGGACCCCATACATCTGAGTAAACCAGCTCAAATGGACTAGACACGTGACTTTGAATGCGAGAAGGAAAAGAGACCTTATAGTGTTTACCAAACTGACAAGCTTCACACTAATAGGAACTCACAGACAGACTCACAGACTCAAATTCAGGAAATAAACTCCAAAGAATGTTCGATGGTGAATGGCCAGCACGACAATGCATCCGATACACATCAAAGGATGTGCGCTTCACAACTGCAGCAGCAAGCACCTTCTTATCAAGGTAGTATAAGCCATTTGATTCATGTTCCCCACCAATCATTTTTTCGGTCCTCAAATCCCGAAAGACACAACGAGAAGAGGGATGTCACTAAACAATTCGGTTCTTTAGTTAACGAACTAATAGAAATCAAATTATATGAAGATTTGAGATGAAGGACAGATGACAAAGAAATAGAGGGACTCAAATGAGCAACTTCAGTACCAATAACATTGAGAGGGACTAAGGCTTTTTGAGACACTCTTGTGCTGGGGCGGAGGGTTAGAAGGAGTTTATAAACTTGGAATCATTGAAATGTATTTGGTTACTCTTTAGTTGAGTTTTGTCTCTTGCACGGATTGCACTGATTCCTGCTCAGAGCACAAAAGTTCCTTTTGCTCGCTTCTAAAGAGATAAAATATTGATCTTATGGTAAAAGCGCCTCTCGTGCCCACTGTGCAAGGAGTCGATGGTGGTGGGTGCGATTCCTCAGATGATTTTTTTTTTTTACAAGATTGTGTACAAAGAGTCCATGAATTGACTAATTTGAACCCATGAAACTTTGGGGCTTGACCCCGCCAAGCTTGCGTCCAGACAATTTGATCTCTAACTCTCAATCTAAAAAGTCTCTAGTATACATTAAAGAAGGCCCAAAGCGAAATCCTCATCGAATTAACGAAAAAGTAAGATGAATTAAAATCACGAAGCATAGCCACTAGATTGTCTTGAACCGATCAATACCACTATCTGCACTGATCGAACGATGTCTCCTTCGCCCGAAACTGCAAACGATGAGGACCCTATCGAAAAAGAAGAGGTATAGGTTTCGCCTCTCGATTAAGTCGATTAGGTAGCTAGGTCGCGAGGCCCGGCCGTCGCATCAAGATAGAAAAAAACGATGTGTACGAGGAGAATAAAGAAAGTGAGATTAGTTTCTTATCAAACAGATTCCCCAATTTCACAAAAAGTTACTTCTGGGTCCATTTTGGAGCCTAGGCATTGAAACGATGGCCAATCAAATGGCCAGATTATCTATATATATATAGGGATGTTTAACAATGAAACTCAACAAATTGAATCTAGAATTTTAAAAAAATGAAAATTATACCAAACATCTATATATAACAAGACGTGTTAGCAGGTTTGTTTGCTTCTTTTGCCTATAATTTCCACGAAAGTTTCCGATACTATTTAAATTTCGAATATATCTATATTGGAGTTATGTAGGTTTCACATTAAGATGTGTACAGAGGATTGAAGTTGCTTTTGCGTTAAATAGTATTCAAATTACGAGTTAGATTATTTGAAAAGGTGAAGAATTGAACAGATGCTCAACTAGCAAAGTTCGAGAGCCGCCAATCGAAACATCCCTTTTTGCGAGTAAAACAAATGAAATAATTAATCTTGTCTATAGTCATGTTCAGCGCGTTTTTATATCTTAAAAGCTTAGCAAAACTACGTTTGGATGCGATCTCGCTTCTTTCTTGTTTTGGGTATAACCCATTGGACTTTCATTAAGTCCACTGCTAATGCAATAAACAAGTTACCCTTTCGATGCCGGTCGTCCCACGCAGCATATCGACGTGGACAACTTGTGGATCAATAGAATGGCGATTTCCGGCTGTAATTAGCCGGAAGGATTGCACTGGAATCTCGCGCAAAATTTTAGGACTGAATTGGTAAATTTGAAAAACTAAAGACTAATTTGATATTCGTATAATAGGTTTATTACTCAATTAGCAATTTCTCCCGTGTTACACAATATGTACTTGGAGAAAGATCATGGAAATGACCAAGCCTTGTTGACCATTTTTTCCTTTGGGACCAGCACATTGGACATTGTCCGAAGGTGGGGAATTCCTAGCCGGCTCATGGGAGGCAATGCATCCTGGGCTTTTCCCCAGCTGAAGGGCCTGTTTGAATTCTCCATCCGTGTCAGTTACAGAAAGCCTACTGCGTGCGTTGGATCCTTCAGTTTTTAATGATCGAGACCATTTTCACGTGCCGATCATGTCGTGTCGAAATGAGGGCATCGTGCGAATTCGACCGATCCGAATAGCGACGTATTTAATGAACATGTCGAGCTTTCTTGACGGGGACAGTTCGAGACAAGTTTAAGGAAACTATTCACGCGCACACGATAGGACAGGACACAACGGAGTTATTGATTTGAGTCCGCGGTCCAATAAATGTTGTCTAAGACAAGACACGGATTCGTATTTAGACTTCAGATGCACGGTGACAAGCTAAGCATATTTTAGCACATTGATGCTGCAAACCAAAGCAAACCATGATCCATCTCCATCTCATCACGCGATGCCAATGCTCAGCTCGGTAACATAGGACGACATGTACTTAAAAGCTAGAACAAGTCAACTCGTCATGTCTAAGTGGGTCGGGAGGGTCGAATGATGTCACGTCATAACCGAATGTTTATCAATGTGTATAGAAAAATACGAGCACATGTTTTTTTTGTGAAAAACGAATGAATTGAAAAATAATTATTTTCTAAAAACAATCGCTCATATAATTTGCGAAAATGAATTGACGTCTTTTTGTTCGTTCACGGAAATATTCAAATATAAATTATAACAGATCTGAAAACGTTTTTCATGAGTATCTCCGATCTGATCGGCATCCCCATCTAGATTACGCCGAGTCAGATTTAGGAATCAAGAAGGAGTAGAAGCGGTTTCTTTCCTCTTTTGGGGTTTTGGCGCCACCGAGGAACTTTTCTGGCTTCCACATCTGTCCCTACCCATCTAGACACCGACGTGGCATTAGGATGCGCACGTTCAGGTCCACGTGGACCCTCCTCCTTCTACGCATGTTTGTTACCACCGGACCGGCGAACCCCCTTTTTTCCTTCCTCCCCGCGACTTCCCCGCAAATCCAACCTCCCGATACTTCGCTCCCACTTGGTTGAACTTCCCGAGAAGAGAGAGAGAGAGATTCGTGAGGATGATGAACGTGGTGGCCATTTGCCTCGTCGTGTCGTCGCTCGCGGCGGCCGGAGTCTGGTCTCCGGGCCCGGAGAAGCGGGGCGGCGACCGAGAGAACGGCGACGTGATCTTGAAGGAGGGCCACCGAGTCGTCGTCGTCGAGTACGACCAGGACGGCCACGCCAACACCAAGGTCTCCATCTCGCCGGAGCACGACCACATCCCCATCAAGCCCGCCTCCGTCACCGACCTCGAGGGCGACCTCTACCAAGGCGCCAAGGACAAGGCTAAGGAGGCCGCCTCGTCGGTGGCTCCGGAGCGGAAGGAAGACGGTGGCGGCCACGGGTACACCGGCGCGAAGGAGCTGATATGCGATGCCTTCGGCAAGTGCAAGCACAGGATCGCGAGCGGCTTCGGGAAGGCTAAGGAGGAGGTGACCGAGAAGGTCCATGAGGTCGAGGAAGACGCGAGGCAGGCGAAGGATGCTGCGGAGGAAAAGCTGCAGAGGGCCGGGGAGGCGGCGGCGCGGAAGGCGCACATGGCCAGGGAGAAGGCGAGGGAGGCGGCGCACAAGACCGGGGAGAAGGCGAGGGAGACCTTCGAGAGCACGCAGGGTGCCGCACGGACCGCCAAGGAGGAAGGGAAGACGACGGTCGGGGACGTCCAGAGGAACCTGTCAGAGGCAGCCGGGGCAGCGAAGGAGCGGGCCAAGGAGAAGGCCGAGGAAGCGAAGGAGGCGGCGAGGGACGTCGGCTCGAGGCTGCGCAGGCTCGAGGAGTCGGTGAGGAGGCACGTGGCCTCACGATTCGACAGGAGGACACTGGCAGGGCTGGTGCATCTGCTGGGGTTCGCGACGGCATACGGGACGTGCGCTTGGGTCACGTTCGTGTCGGGCCACGTGCTCGCGGGGGCGCTGCCGAGGCAGCAGTTCGGGATGGTGCAGAGCAAGATGTGCCCGGTGTACTTCAGGGCCATGTTTTCCAGCATCGCCCTGAGCCTGTTGGGGCATTTGCTGGGCCAGGGGAGGCACCTGTTCGCGAGCAAGCCGGAGATGTTGCAGGGCTTGAACTTGTTGGCCTCGCTTCCTATGGTTCTGGCCAATATGCTCTGCTTGGAGCCTCGTGCCACTAAGGTACGACAACGTCGACAAGTATATGCGCTTTCACTGATTTATCTTCTCTGGGATCATGTGTCGATTTCGCCGTTAGTGAAAATCTAGTATTTCTAGGATCATCGCGGTCGGTTCGATTTGGCTCGAGGTCGGTTAGTGAGGTCTTTTAGGTGGATGATTTCGATGATTATGCGAAAGACAGTACCCTGATGGCGAAACTAGAGCAATAGTATAGACATCACTGTCTGTACTCTTTGCTGATGTTAATTCACGTGGCTTTATTGTTGAGAAGTGTCGATCACAGACCATTCAAATATGCTCTTCCTCGTGATTCATTCCAGATAATGTTCGAGAAGATGAAGCTGGAGAAGGAAGAGGGCAGAGGGAGAGAGCCCCTGGGCAGCACCGACGCGACCCAAGCGACCGAGCCGAGGCCTCCGCCAGGTGAGACTCCGACGCCGGCGCCGACACAAGAGGACAGGGAAGGAGACGCCCTCAGAGCCCGGGCCGTGAGATTGAACGAGAGGCTGAGGAAGCTGAACTCGTATTCGTCGCTCCTCAACGTCGCGACGCTAATGGCCCTCACTTGGCATCTGGTGTATCTGGCGCAGCGCATCTCGACGCCGTGCTGATGTGCACTGAGCTTAAGTAAGAAGATTTTGATGTATGGTACAGTAAGAGTTGCTTTGCTTTTGCTTGCTTCTGGTTCATCTGTGTGTATACACGCCTTTATATATATAGGTCGGCTTTGTAACAGAGACCAAGTGCTTTTGTGTTTACCATTACCAAAGTCTTAACGCCCGTAATTCTTGGGTTGGGTATGCCGCCTCTTTTAAATGAAATATATATGATATGGTAGATTTTCTTTCTATTGGGCTACGTGCTTCAAGACAAGCTTCTCTAGAACAAACTATTAATTGATTTTATTAATACCATAAAAAAATCCTCGACAATATCTCTTTGATATTAATTTTCCAGTTTCTTTTATTACCAAAACACCAAATTTGTACAAGTATGAAAAAAATAGTCTTTTGTCTTTTGTAAAAGAAATCTTAAATTTTTCCCTTTGTGATATCACGTACCGTAAAAGTCTCTCTTTTTTTAAGTGTCATCAATATCCAAACTTGTAGCTTTGTGATAAAATTTTGATGTATTTAGTGTCTCGGTGGATGAAGTTTAAGGATTTTAGTGACACGGAGGGTTTTTGGCAACACTAAAAAAAAAATTGTTTGGAGCATTGGTGTCATAGCGGATATAATTTAGGATTTTTTGGGATAAAAATTACAGTTTATACAGCAACATTTTTCTAAAAATGTTCGTGTGGCTTAAAATATTTAGACGATGAAAAATATTATTGTCTGAACATGTTCCTGGACGATGGACATATATTAGGTTATATGTTTTGCAAATCCATCGCGAAAAAGTAATGTCGGGAATATTTTTCTTCAATATGTCTTGACCTGCTTCGGAGTAATCCTAAACCTTACAAAGCTACTTGAAAGCCCATACGGAACGAAATCTTACGAAGCCCAGTTCGACTATCCATACATATGAGAACGGAAGCCCAATTTAAACCGGGCTCCAAACTCCTTACTAGAGCTCTCCTTAGTTCTCGTATCTTTCTCCGCCTAGACAATACGTACGTATGCAGATATATATACATACGTACGCATATGTATATAAATACGTATACACAAACGCACGAATAACAACATATAGGTCGAGGTACATATTTATTTACGGGCCACGTGTGTAAATAAAAATTAGCGGGCATTATATCACACGTAACTGAACGCTTAACTACATCACGCGACTCAGCTGTGCGTAAGTATCATTTACGAAGTTATTATTGTTGTTACTCTAATCTACTATGTGGCCATCAAAAGCATCCTCTGTTTCCGGTAAAATTTAGTCTATCACCCAAAATTCAAAAAATTACGAAGAATCATATGTGAATCCAACCGTTGAGGTTTGTACGCAGTGAAGGCGTCGGGGTATTTCAAAAATCAAGAAAAGTCGCAATCATGCTCGCCGCGAGATTCTAATTCGGGAAGAAACGCCAATCGGGTTCCGATCTCATCTCAGACCGGTTGGTCAGCCTGGACTTTAGTCGCATTCCATGCTTTCTCTCCACTCACGCCCTCGATAAGGCCGCGGTGACCGGCTCGCCCCAGTGAGAAGTCGGTGCTTCGTCGGCGCCTCGAATCGAATACATTCCAACCGCGGCGAGGTGAGTCTCGACCCCGACCAAACCCGAATGGTATGTAGACCAGTTTTCGCGTAGAAAAGGGTCTACTGGTGGAATTGTGAAGAAGCGCGGTACGATGCCCTCCTCTTCTTCTTCTTTCCTTTTCGCTTAGACATTATTAGGTAGAGAAGCATGGCAAGATAAATACGTTGGATGCGTACGGGGATGAAACGGGAGCCGAAACGGACATCATTCATACGGACAAAAACAAAAGCGCACGAAAGGGACCGATTGTAATTTTCGGACGGAATCTCGAGACTTTGGCTAAACTTCGATGGGAGACAGCTGTTTAAGGGGGGGACACACCAAATCCCGGATTAACCGGTCATCAATCCCTCCCCCCTCCTCTCCCCCCCTTCCCCATCCCCTAATCATTGCCGCAGCCTGATTAGGTTTGCTTCTCTCTCGATCAAAGCCTCCTCTGCTCTGCACAGATCGAGAGACAATCATCCACGAATTCTTCCCTCCCCACCACACCACTGTTTTATTCTTAAAGTGGGATTGTTGTCAACTCATTAAATTTGTGCTAATTAGGTAGAGATTCCTCCTCATGCCCCTGATCGGTCCAATTGTCCCACGTTGGGTCCCCGTCCCCCCCCCCTACAAATTCTTTTTTTTTTTTTTTGGGGGTCCCTTTCTTTCAAAACAAAAATCGATTTTTTTTGGGGGGGGGGGGGGGGGAGCAAAACCCTTTGTGTCTTTTGACAGAATCGTGGGACCCCACCGGGTCAGTTCCCCGTAGAGACCAAAAACCTTATCGGGCGGACAAATTTTTTTTACGAGGCGCTCTTTTATTTCTGGGGAGAAAAAGAGATGGGTTCCGCACTTCGCTTCGCGGGGCATCAACAGCCGTCTTCCTACTGTTGCCACGAACATGGGCCAAACAACAAAGAAAAGAAAAAAGGGGAATCGAACGAGTATTGTAATCCGAACAAAAAGGCAAGTCGCGATGAAACGGGGGGCAACGCGACAAGGCCCCCCAAAGGACGTTTTGAAAAAAAAAAAACCAAACCAGATGCCGTAACTTGCGGTACGACGGGGAGGAATATCAACGGCGATGTCCGAACCGAAATCGATAAATCTAAAGGGGTCGCTGTCGGAGCCCCTCCTCCCATTAACGAAAGGCTGGGTGGCTTGGCCTCTTCCGTTCCATGATTTTTGGCCTCGCCCGAATTAAAACCTTTTTGCCAAAAACCCTAATCGCCGTGACTAATCCCGCCACGTGTCCTGGATCGAGGGTGAAGCCAATCAGATGCGTGAATGGTTGCCCGGATTGAGCTTTTACAAAACAGGGTATACGGACACGTGGCCAGCAGGTTCTTTGGAGGATTATGAGAAGGATTCAGGGGTTAGATTAGAATGTATCCTCTCTTGTTGCAAGTGGCATGTTCAAAGCAAGTATTAAAGTGTTACTTAAACCTAGGGGACTTCCTAATAATGTGCAAAGTCCACATTTGCCGCATTCATTGGAATAATTTGGTATGGTTCCTTATTTTTCTTGTGGTTTGTGTAAATAGAATCAGAGCCCGTTCGGTACGATTTCGTTTTTTTTTTTTCTATCCTTTTCGTGACGAAAACATTCGTTACAGAAGGAGGTCGCGGCTTCGATGAAGTATTGGGACGATCGGGATTAATCGACCGGGTTTGGATTTGGGAGTGTGCCGGCCATTTTGGAACCCGTCTCGCCTTTCGTTCCTTCGTGTAATATATATATATATATATGAAAGTAAGTTTCGATTACATCTGTCAAAATGATGGACTGAATTATTGTATTGATTAATTATATTCGGTAGATGGGTCATGATGGGTTTAAAATGGTAAAACCCAAAATAATATGGGTGCTAAATGGATTCACAACTTACTTAGACCCAATACACATCTATGACACTCTCTTGCCATCACTCGATATCCCGCTCCGAGCTCCGAGCTCTCGCCTCGATTTGGGTATGAGTTTTCATGGATTGAATTACATATAAAAGTGTTTTAGTAATACGGGTCAGGTCGGATGCATGTCTGTTATGAGCCGAGTCGGGTATGTGTCGCTAGATTTATATTGCATGAAAATTGATCAAACCAGGTTAAATATGTCAATTCAGATCGGACTATTTCAAGACTCGAAGGAAATAAATATTTGCTACCCGATACCTAGCGGTCTTTTTTTACCGGTTTTCACAATTTCCCACCTCGATTCTTTCCCGTCCGTATCAAGATAAATTATGATCTCCACCCCTGATATAATTAACAGACATCGCGATCATGGGCATAATCGCAAAACTACGAACGCTAGCGGGCTAACGCTTAGCCACGTAATAGCGTACGACCATCGACATACAATACCACATGCCTACGAACGTTTCTTAATCTTCGACGACACTTTCAAAACCCTTTGGCTATTCAAACAAGCAATCGACCATGTGCAAAAGTACTGTCGCAAGTCGTGATTCGAGAATCGCGACGACGCATTCATCAAATTCAGCGGACTTAGTCCCACAGTTTTTTTCTTTTTGAATTTCCCACCCCCACCCATTTTCTTCGGCCAGAGTTTTTTTTTTCCCATTGGAAATGCTTCTAGATAAAGAAAAGTCAGCAATGCGGCTCAAGAGCGACGTGATCCTAATCATCTAAATCCCGGACCCCAAATCCATTTCAATAAGGAGTATTAAACCCAAAGGGCTCGTCACGATAGCTGAAACGGAGCAGCTTCCAGAGACGAAGGCATTTCCATTTGTCAAGTCGATTTCTATACGGAAGATTATTGGTATTTGTTTTTTTTTTAACATAAACGCCCGAAACTTTCGCAATAAACAAATACTGATACGTAAACATATATACGTGCCTGATGAAAATTCTCTAATTGCGGTGACGGACTGTCGTCTGTCAGCTGTAAAAGTCTTTAAGTGTCGCTTGTCAGTCTTTATTGTCGCTTATCAGCGTTTTGCTCGTAAAATTGCTTTTTGTTTAAATTAAGGAAAAAAGCCACAAAAAATCCAACTTATGCCAATCATGACACATTTATCCTGAACTTTTTTTTTTGGCGCTAAAAACGTCAAACTATGTCCACTGTAACACATTTACCCTAAAAAATCTCAAACTTGTACCTATGTAACACATTTACCCTCCGTAAAATGATTTTTCAGTAAAAACGTCATTTTTATTTCACTTATGTCCATGCAGTTTGCTTTATAGCGTCTATATAGGCAGATTTTTAACGGTTCTTATTGACAAAATTTTGACAGAGGATAACGTATCACACAGGTACAAGTTCGAGATTTTTTTATTTCACTGAAATTTTTTTATGATAAATATGTCACAATGGACATAGCTTAGAGTTTTTTTTTTTTTTTACGGCTTTTGCCCTTTAATGTAATTGGAAACTTCAATTGGGTTTCAATAGGACCATTTTTCATGCTTCTTCAAACTGTGATCAAAATGCATTATTTTGGATAAACATTCACATGACTTTCGTGTTGCGAGTAGATGCAAAACGATCGCCTCTGTATACTTCTCCATATATGTCCTTAGCCATGAGCTTTGTCTCACTAGATTATAGTTCTAGTTAATCAATTACAAAACATGAGCCGCCAAAAAGCGTTTGGGCACGGACAAAGTCCTGCATCACCCAA